CAAAACAGCAAGTACGAGTCAAACTCTCACGAAAGTTGATACGATAAAAACAGCCACCAGCCACTTTCTAAAACCGTTGGTTAAGCTCTGCCCGTTACCTATATCTTGAAAGGATTCCTTAAAAGTGGGCGGTGATGTTTATGCATCATTGTACAAAATATATATTTAAATAATCTTTGTTATAGTTAAAATTCTCTCACGTCTCTCATTGTACAGTTTTCCTTTCCATTCCCGTGTGTTTGTCATTAATTATTGTAAATAGTTAATTTTAAGTGTTTGTATTTTCATGTTTATCGCTTTATCGGCAACTACGGCCTTTGTAATCTAATGCTTGTATGAAAAATTGTTTTTCAATAATGTTATTCCGTTATTATTCGGTAACAATTGCCTTAGTTGGTTATTTTACCCTTGTTTTTTTTTGGTTTTCTATAGTATTATTATTGGAATAATAATATGATAAGTTAATTTTATCTTAATAAAAATAAACCTAAAAAAAGTTACTTTTTTGTCGTATTTTTCTGTGTTGTTTTATGCACTTCAGTTAATGGAATAACCTTCTAACTAAAATCAAAAATATAAAATTTTATTCGTTGATTGGTTGATCGATGGGATAATCGCCTTCATCGCACAGGTAATTAAATATAAAAGTATATACAATTAATTAGATTCATATAATATTTATAAAAATCAATGTAAACCCTTGTAAGATATTTTAAAATAAAATAAAATACAAAACCCATAATTTTACCATATCTTTGAATACGATAGTTATTTTCACCATGAAGACAAGTCCAGAGGTTAATTGTTTTTTAAATAAAGTATATTACATAACCTTTAATATAGTGTATATATAAAAGTGTCAGTCTTTCCGGAACATTTTCAAAAACTAAATTAAAAAAGATAATTTTTTGTGAAAAAGTTGCCATTTTGAATCCCTCCTATGGCCAGGTAAAGGGTCAGATTTATAAAAAAATATACAAAATAATAGGTTATTGATTAGGTCATTTATAAAAAAGTTATGGCAGTTTTAAGAAAAAATTTCGAAAATTAGCGATTTTTAAATTGATAATTTCTTGAGGATTTCCTCCATTTACGGTGAAAGAGGGAAATGTTTTCAATTTTTGAGAATAATGTCTTGTACTAGATACGATTTGTGATCTTTTGACGTATTGTCATCAAAATCGGTCCAGAAAGAGATGAGCTTGAGCGTTCACAGTCGCAAAAAACACATCATAGTAAAATTAATACCTTCTCAGCTTTGAATCGAAAAAAAAAACAAAAGAAATTAAATTAACTCGACGCAAAAAACCGTACGGTCACAAAACCTCGTGTAGATATTAATAAAACAGATTTACGCCTCAAGTAAATAACTGGTTTTGAGCAGTTAGACTTAGCTTGCAAGACGTTGGGACACACCGGAATAAAATGCATTACGTCACCACATTGTACTAATAATATGTATCACCTCATATAATCTTATATGAAAAAAAAAAAAAATATATATATATATAACTGTTGGTATTGTGACACACCTGCCATGTTAAGGGACCTAAAAAAAAATAGGGACACCTAGAAAAAAAATTCGACACACGTGCTTATGGCACGGCGTGCTAACAAAATAAAATCTGGTACAAAACATGTTAAAAATAAATATATAAAATACCAGCCCCGAAGCGTTAAAAAAATCGTGGACAGGCAACGCCGTAAAATAAAATAAAATGACATTTTTACAAAATGTCGGACATTCACGTATAATTCATTTATTCATAAAACGGGACGAGCCCAATATTTTACAATTTAACAAAGATATTTTAAAAGCTTATGATATAATAATTAATTAAACTAAAACAACTGACAAATTGCAATATAACAAAATTACAAAATATATGTACATAATATTTGATACAAAGATGAATTTTAATTTAACATGAAAAAAATAAAAAATAAAAATAAAATAATTAGAAATAACAATAAAATAAAATGGAATTGAATATACATTATTAAATAAGGGGACTGAAACTTGGGCTAAGGTAAAACAAAGGAAGGGTCGGTATTAGCGATTTTCATCAAGCGGATTATCGGGGAGTTTAGAAAGTAATTTGAGGAGGAAAATGGAATTTGGAAGGGGATATTGGAACGCGTCAAGCGAGGAGGAACTTTAAGATTTATAAGGGATAGTAAATCAGGAGAATCAATATTGTTTGAAAGGAGATCTAGTAAGAATTTGCGATTTAAGACATGCCTACGATCGGCGAGACTGGAAAGGTTAAGGGAATGGAGTATAGGAGCATAGGAGTGAGGAGGATATTGGATATTGAGCTTAAAAGCAGCAAAGCGCAGGAACTTCCGTTGTACACGTTCCAACATTTCGCTGGCACCAGAAGTAGGTGGGTCCCATAAGACACATCCATATTCAAGAATAGGGCGAACTAGTGCACAATACAAGGCTTTTAGGGGGGAGATCAAGTGAAATTCTTGGGCTATGCGGAAAATAAAACCCAGCATTTTTAGTGCCTTACAACATATTTCTTGAATGTGTTTTATAGGACACAGTGTACGAGTAAGGGTAAAACCCAAGTCACGTAAAGAGTCACCACCAGAATTTACGGGAATACCATGTATAGAATAAGGAAAAACAAGAGGATTACTTTGGCGCGAAAAAGTCAATGAGGAGCATTTTTGGATGTTGAGGGAAAGGCCAAGGGACTCGCCCCAAAAGACTAAACGTTGAAGGTCTGATTGGAGGATAATACAATCGGACATTGAATTTATACGATAATAAAGCTTCATATCATCAGCAAAAATAAGGAGTTTAGCATGGTGAAGAACAGAAGTAGAAGAGTTCACAAACAAGGCAAAGAGGAGAGGAGAGAGAACAGCACCTTGGGGGACACCTGAGGAAGGATAAAAAAGTTCAGAAAAAACACCGTGGACAGACACAAACTGGGGTCGATCCAGTAAATAGGAACGAAACCAGGAGAGTAGAGGTTCACCAATACCTTGTTGATCTAAAACATTTATTAGTAGGGAATGATTAACACGATCAAACGCCTTAGCGAAATCAGTGTAGATCACATCAACTTGGCTATGAAGGCGGAAGGATTCAAAAATATACGAGGTAAAGGTGAGGTTGCATGTTAGAGTAGAGCGGTTTGGACGGAAGCCATGTTGTTCAGGTATAAGTATATGATTCAAGGAAGGTCGAATAGTATTTAGGACAACAGTTTCGAATAATTTGGAGATATGAGGAAGAATGGTAATAGGACGATAGTTAAGAACATGAGTTGGATCGCCAGATTTGAGAATAGGAGTTATAGAGCCAAGTTTTAAAGAAGAAGGAAACATCCCAGAACTCAGGGATTTATTAAAGATAAGAGAGAGGGGCCAGGTAATTACGTCCCGTAATCTAAATAAATAATCGCCCTGAATGCCGTCAGGTCCGAGAGATTTGATGTTATGGAGAATGGTAAATGATTTGTGTAACTCAATTACGGACACATGGACGATTGAAGGAAGAGGAAACTGTAAGTGAGAAGGATTAGTGGAGGGAGTGATCGAAACTGGTGTATAAACAGAAGAAAAGTATCTGGAGAAGAGATTTGCCGTTTCTATAGGGCGTGTGCTATTGGAGCCGTCATAGACTAAATTACAAGGAATATTTTTGGAAGAATAATGCTTACGCACAAACTTCCAAAATGCTCGAGGATTTAGTTTTAGATTAGATTCAGAGTGAGCAAGATACTCGCGGTGACATTTCTTTGAGAGGAATTTGTAACGTGCTCGGCATAACGAAAAATGACGATAGTCAGCTAGTGAAAGTGACGACTTATACTTAGCATGTGCCAGACGCTTTGAGGATACTAGTTTCTTTAGTTCAGAAGTAAACCAAGGTGGGAATGTTGAGGGACGAACAGTGATTTTAGGAACATAAAGGAGAATAGAAGTGTGAAGAGCATCATAAAAAGTATTCATGGCAGTATCAGCATCTAAGTCCTTAAATGTTTCTTCCCAATTAAAGGAATTTAAAAAGTCTTTAATATGACAATAGTTAGCTTTTGAAAAATCATAAAAGGAGGTAGTGCTTTGAGGGGGTGGACTGTGAGATGAGTTAAGAATTTGTAAGGATAGTGGAGGATGATAAGCGTCTGGAGGTACAGCTGAATCAGAAGCGACATTGACATTTATTAATTTGTAGTTCGAGAGAACAAGGTCCAGGAGAGAGTTATGAGAGTTTAAGTTATAATTTAGTTGAAAAAATCCATGTAAAGAAAATAACTCAGGAACACTAAGGTCTTGAGAGGGGGAGGAAGAGGAATAGCAGAGGCCATATTCATCATTTGACCAGATAATACTGGGGAGGTTATAATCGCCGCAGACAATAAATGAATAGGAAGGATATTGGAGAAAAATATTTTCAATGGAATATAGGTGAGCTCTATATAAATCAACAGAAGAAGAGGGGGGTAGATAAACACCACAAATTATGAATTTAAAGGAATTAAAATGAAAATGAACAAATAATTGTTCAACGTTTTTAACTGGAGAAGGGATTAAGAAAGAAGGGAAATCTTTGTGAATTCCGATAAGGACTCCACCTCCACGTCCGCATAAGCTGGTAAGGGGTGATCTGTCGCATCTATATATGTTATAATTAGTAAGGCCGAGTTCATTAGAATTAAAATTTTCAGTAAGCCAAGTTTCAGTTAAGATTATAAATGAATGATTAAAATAAGCAGTGTTACATGAAAAATTAAATAATTTAGTGCGTAGACCACGACAATTTTGGTAATAACCATTAATATTATGCAATTTAGAGTATTTAAATTGATCAGAACTTATAGATTTATTGAATTTGTTAATAAAATTTGAGAAATGTGAGAAAAATGTATTAAAGGTAGATTTGGCAGCACAACACTTACGACAGTATGAGGTCGATAATATATCAGACTTGTAGGTGCAACATCCAGGTAGATAAGGTAGAGCGGTAGCGTTGTTGGTAGGTGAATTTAAGTTCGGTGTTTGGTTTGAAGAAAATGAGATCCGTTTTTTGATTTCCTTTTCAGAACTGTAGGGACGCCATTTAAGTATGAAATAGTAAGGTCAGCTTCGCCACTTTTCGTTCGACGATCTAATTCGGAATGACAAGATCGAAGCTGCTCGCGTTCACGTAGTGTCTTGTCACGAACAAGCTTTAAAACTTGATTGTTTGGGGAACGTTTACTAGCAGTATTAAATAATTTTAGAAACTCCACTGCAGCTAATTTATTTTTTAGAAAAATCTTAAGTGGACGAGATGAATGGTCATTTCTTCTTCCCAACCTAATGACTTTAATGTCAGGAGGGGCAGAAATTCCCACAGAAGAAATAAGTTCAGATAAGTTCTTTAAGTCTTCACTAATTCTATTCCCGAGTTCTGGTGCATTTGATTCAGGGACACCAAAAGCAATTAAATTTGAGCTACATTTTTCACGCTCAGATAATTCGAACATTAATTGAGATACTGAGTCATGAGAAGAGCCAGGGTTATTTTTCTCAAGATTTGCAATTCTTGTGTTAAGGGCAGAAATATCATTTTTTAAAGTTATATTTTCAGATTTTAGTTCAGAAATTTGTGATATGAGTGTATCTAGATTTTTTGCGTTTGCTTTACATTGTGTCAAAGTATCACTTTGAATAGATTTTAAATCAGCAATGGCTTTTAATATTTCTTCAGATGTTACGGGCGTAGAGAGAGTTTTATGATTTTTCGATGAATTTGAAGAAGCAGATCTAGTCATTACTTGAGTTTTGGGCGATATTGGGTTCATTTTATGTTAATAAATAGTATGGACTAGCGTTAAAGTCACCAAGAAAATGATGTTCGAAACGAGTTATTGATTCATAAACTAAAAGTATTAGATAGAAATGATAAGAGTGGTTTGTATATTACCAATTTTGTAAGGAGATATGTTTGAATAAAAGTATTTCTGTGAAAGTACTCAGAATGATTCCACTAACAGAGATAAACAAACACTTTATTAAACAATTGAGTAAATAAGTTTAAGTTAATATGTTAATAAAACTTATGAAAGATATCAAAAAGTGTACAACTAATAGTACTGATATGAGAGGTTATCAATATTGTAATACTTTTCTAATAAAAATACAATTGGTGCAGCGCACATAAAAAAAATTCACTACCGCTACGGACGAGAAGTAGAACGACCAGTTCCGACTATGGCTATTCCCCGACAAAATGTCCGACGTTTGACCTGGCGGTCCGATGGCGTCCACCCGGCTAGCCTTTAGAGTAGGGGTCAACAAATTTTATTACCCAATACCGGAAATTATTAAGAATAATTCGAATCATAATATATCATAAGGCGACAATGTAAGTGGAAGACAGTGCAAATTAAGTTCAAGATAGAAAATGAGTGAGGTGTCACACAAATGCCGTCCATGATTTGGCCCCAAGTAGTACACAGCTGACTATTTCGCACGCGCACAAATAAATCATAACACCTTATCGTGATTATTTGAATGATAAACGCCATAAATATTATATTTATTTAGAGGGTAATCAAGTGATTTACAATGAACCGATCATTCTGTATATAACACAGATAAGTCGGCATTCTACTTATCAATGGATTTACTAAAATAAATTACTTAATTTAATTTAAATTCAAAGTATACAATTTTTTAATTCAAAATTTTTTTATTGCTACATTACAGTTAAAGTTTTTTATTTTTTAAAATAAGTTAATAAAATACACTTACTAATTCATTTTCTTTGTTTTTAGAGACTTCTAACATTTCCTCCAACAGTTTTCTTGATTCAATTTCATCTTTAAGCTCTTTTTTAAGTACTTCAATATCATATGATGTGTTTGGTAAAATGTTATCACCAATATTCTAAAAAAATTAAATAAAATAATATTTTTATTATTTGATAGTCTTTATCGCTTGTTTTATTGTCTTATGCCTTGTAGATGTTAGATAAGCCAATATAATATATTGTCATTTGACAAAGACATCTCCTTAAAATATGGACTTAGATATCCAATTATGGGGATGTGCTAGCAAGTCTTAGACTGATCAAATTCGAACTTTACAACTTATTACTTTCCGTACTATTATCAATGCTTTCATGTTCAAAAAAATAACCATAAATAAAAATATGATGATAACAACCGCTATAGAAGAAATTTCAACAACAACTTTGTTGTTGAAATTTCTTGATGATTCTCAAGTTGTCAAAAGATTTAAACGAACTTAACCGGAAATATATATTGATTAATGTAAATTTTACTTGTATATAACTTTGAAGACTATTCTTTGGAAATTTGCCTTCATCATTATGTGTAATAATGATGGACTATTTATTTTATAAAATTTTAGATGCTAAGGTTAGTGAATAATTTTAATTACGACCGCAACGTTATCAAATAAATAAATATATATTTTAGAAGTAGAATATATTAAAGATCAGGAATATCTAATAAATTATCGAAAAAAGCGTACTTATTGTGTATCAGTATTATTTCTATGGAAAATCAATGAAGGATAAACCAAGAAGACAGTTAATCGACTTAATTTTACTTTTTAAAACTACATTTTAACTTCGATAGGAAGGTAAAAATGTATTAATTTTAGTATAATGTTTTATTGTTTCTGTTACCACTTTTTCTCAGCTCTCACTAGACCGATTTCTTTCAATGGTACGTCAAAAAAACACAAATCGTATCTAGTTTAAGACATTGCTTTTGAAAATAGAAAAATGTCAAACATTCCCTGTTAATTATTCAAATCTCCCAAAAAATAATTATTTTTAAAATCTTTATAATTCTTTTTAGGTTTTTTTTTTATTTATTTTTTATATGGATAAAAGTTATTGAGTGATAATGATGATAAAATTTAATCAACCAGTTTGAATTTCTAATACGTGTAATGTCGTCTTTGGAATTTAGTAAATGTAAACGTGTGTGTAGCAATTTAATTTCAGTTGATATTAGATTGCGGACTAGTGCGGACATATTGTATAATTGAATCATCAAGTCGCTTATCAGATTTTTTTTTCTCCTTATTATAATTTAGTAATTAATATATAATCATTTGTCTTTATTGTGAAATGTTGTGCAATATCTGTAATGATGATATTTATGATGGAGACGATATAAATTGAATGATGTGTAATTCATTCATGCATTTCGGATGTGCTTCTTTAAGGGAAACAACATTTCGAAAAATGTCTAAAGCAAGTAAATAAAAATGGCTTTGTAATACATGCAAATATATTGATCCGTCTGTTAAAAAAAGTGAACCTAGTACTTCAACAATATTGGAATATAAAGACATGGAATGTTTAACCAATGAAAATTTCAAAAACCTCATCGAATCAGTTAACTTCATGAGCGAAAAATTTGACGGCTTTGGTAAACAAATGCAAGAGTTAATAACTTCAATAAAAAATATGAAGGAAGAAAACCAAATCCTGAGAGAACAAAACACCAAATTAAAAAGTGATATTGTGCTCTTAGGTAAACGTATGAATATTTTAGAACAAAAGGCAATTGAAAACTACGAAGAAATCACGGGTGTTCCTGAGGCAAACAATGAAAATTGTGTGAAATTAATCGAGTCAATTGTTGAATCCGTTAGAGTGAAAACAACTGTAATAAAAGCTTTTCGTATCAGATCAAAAATTAACAACAAATCAAGAAAAATAATAGCTGAACTACAATCAAAGCAAATTAAAAAAAAACCCAGCACAGTGGGGTGGCGGCACAATGGGGTCGTGGCATAGTTGGGTCCAGTATAGATGATATCTGACAGTGATTAAAATCACTATCATAAAAAACGTTTCGATGCAAATCTGTAGATAATGTTTAATTAAAAAAAAAAAATTTGTTAAAATAGCATATTTTTGAATACGGTAGCCATTTGCGCATAGAAGATAGGTCGTCGGGACAAATTTTTTTTTTTATTTTATAGTACATAAAATAAGCTTTAATTTGATATATATTTAAATGACGCAGTATTTCCGGAATATTTTCAAAAATTAAGTTGGAAAAGTTATTTTTTGTAAAAAAGTTACTATTTTAAATCCCCCCAGTGAGCAAAATAAGTGTTAAATTTTCAAAAAAAATTATATCAAATGAAAGGGAAATATCTAAGGTTTCAATACAAAAAAAATATTATTTTTATTTGTTCATTTTTTAAAAATATGGCAGTTTTAAATACAAAAAACATCCCGATAAAAGGTAATTTTTATCGCAAACATTACATTTTTTTTTAATTTTCGACACNAAGGTAATTTTTTACATTTTTTTTTAATTTTCGACACCCATTTGCACATAGAAGATAAGATGTCGGGACAAATTTTTTTTTTCATTTGATAGTATATAACATAACCTTTGATTTGATATATGTTTAAAGGACGCAGTATTTCCGGAACACTTTCAAACGTTAAGTTGAAAAAGTTCTATTTTTTATACAATATTTCAAATTTTGAACGCCTCCTATATATGGGGAAATTGTTCAATTTTAATAAAAAGTATGTCAAATGAAAGATGTACTTATAATGTATTTAGAAAAAAAGAATTTGTGCTGATAATTACATTTTTCGATAAGTTATAGCACTTTTAAGTTGAAAATTTTAAATCGAAAATTTTAACACAAAAATAGCGTTTTTTTAACTACGTCAGCCTTTTAAATGTAGAAGATAAAGTGACGGGACAAATTTATCAATGAAATTACATGTTCAAAAATAAAAAATAAATAAATAATTCAAACTTTAAAAATTGATGATAAGTTAATTAATGTAAACAAGGATTCAAAAGAGGCATCAAATATTTTCAATACATTTTTTTCCAGTATAGGAAAAAAATTAGCTGACAATTTTAGCAGTGAAAACATAAATGATATTCCAAATTCTAATAAAAATGTTTCTTTTGATGAAGTGTTCCTTAATAAAATTGATAGCGCTGAAATTATTAAAATTGTAAATAGTTGTAAAGATGAAACTGCGGCAGGCTACGATAAAGTAACAATAAAAATGTTAAAACATGTAATTGAACTTTTAGTTACTCCACTAGTATACATATATAACTTAAGCCTAGAACAAAATGTCTTTCCGGACAACTAAGTAGCAGTAATCAAATCTCTTCATAAAGGTGGTGACCCAACAAATATAAATAATTATAGGCCAATATCACTATTAAGTAATTTTTCGAAAATATTTGAAAAAATAATCAAGTCGAGATTAATGGAGTATCTGGAAGCCAATAAACTATTATCGAACAACCAATTTGGATTTAGACCTGGTATAGAAACGGAGGATGCCCTTTATAATACAACTAAATTCTTATATAACGAATTAGATAAAAGTAATAAAGTTATAGCCGTTTTCTTAGACTTGACCAAAGCTTTTGATACCGTCAATTATCAGATTTTATTAGACATTTTACCATGTTTTGGTATTATGAACAATAGCTTGAATTGGTTTAAAAGTTATTTATTTAATAGCACAAAAATGGTAAAAATAAATGATATCACGGGAAATGAATGTAGTATCGAATATGGTGTGCCTCATGAAAGCGTTTTGGAACCAATTTTATTTAACTTATACGTTAATTCAATTTGTGAATGCAATTTGAATGGTATGATAGTAGCATATGCAGACAATACTTGTTTGTTTTTCTCGGGTAAAACATGGGAAGGGGCACACTCTAAAGCTACTGTTGGGCTGAATAATGTATATAAATCTTTGATTTCCAGTAAACTAATATTAAATAATGATAAAACAATGTTTATGACTTTCTCTATTTATAAAACTAAAACCAATTTTAAAATAATAACAATACATAGCTGCTCTGATAAAAAAATTTGCAATCTAGATAAACGTATAAGTATAAAAATGGTGTCAAAGATTCGATATCTAGGTATTATTTTTGATAACAATCTTAAGTGGAATTCACACATTCATAATCTAGTTGGTAAGTTACGTTCAATATCTTACAAATTTATTAAACTTAAAAATATAGTACCCAAACATACAATGCGTATAATATATTTTACACTATACCAGTCGATATATCAATATGGGCTACTAGTATGGGGGGTCTAGGTAAAAATAATTTAAACACATTTCAAATGAACCAAAATAATATAGTTCAAATCTGTCTAAATAAAGTTACCCTTGAAGGATCAACAAAGAACAATTACAGAGTTTTGGTTGTTCTGCCAATAAAATATTTATACAAAAAATTAGCTCTCATGTTTGTTTTTAAATGTAATATCAAAGATAAAAGCAATTCTTTTTTTAACAATAAAAGAACCAACCGAATGTATGATATCAATGTTAAGTATCCTTTTAAATCCTGTGGTCAATCTTTCGTTGACTATTTAGGACCTACATATTTTAATGCTATGCCATTTGAGTTCAAACAAAAAATACATTGTAACCATGCCAATGTCAAAAATATTATTTATAAATATTTATTTTTAGAATTAGAATAATTTATGAGCCTTTTCCTTGTATAATTTAAATTTATATTTTCTTTTCTCTCTTTTTCGTATATCAATAACTATGTTTATTTGTTTTTCATTCTATTTATGTATATTTTATAAATGTTTTTCACTGTCAAAATTTAATTTAATTTAAATACTCTCTATCTCTAACTCAAGTATCGCTTATAAGAGATAGATAATCATTTTAATTCTGTATGTAAATTTACTATGTTATGAAAAAAAAAAAAAAAAAATTAGTTTAAGTGTCATCTTGAATAAATATTAGTACTTCTTCGTTAGTATTGTAGTAAATTGCTGAGGAAGTATTAAATAACGTCAATATTAGTATATAATTAAGTTTTACCACAGTAGTAAGCAATTTCTAAATTCCTTAAGTAATATAAT